TCCTTTCTCACTGTTTTGAAGTTGTTGATGCTGGGAAATAATCTGAAATCAGTCAATCAATCAGAATACATGTAGTTACTACAAGAAGGCGTTGCAAAATCCCTTGGTTACCTTCAAAACGTCTATGAAATAATATCTTGGCATCCTGCTATGTTTGAACTGCTACTATAAGATGCTGGCTAAAGCCCAGGAACTGGGGAGAGGCGTAAAGAAGGGATTCTGCCAACAAGCATATGGTCAATTCAGATGAAAAGATTCCCTTTAGTATGTTTTCCTCAGCTGAGCCAGAAGTAAGTGGCAAAGAAATAAGATGACAACATAGTATTAACCTAGTCGAGGGCTGATTTTTTGAAGCAGCACAGTAACCATATAAAAATGCCCACAGACTTTCTAGCCTATCGAGAGCAAGACCTGAATAATTGTTGCAGCTATTTTCAACCCCCCCACCCAAGCAATTCCTACACTATTCAAATAGTCTAATTTGAATGCATTGATATACAGTAGTGGATGGGCTGCCCAAGAGTCTGTATTTTTGTTAAGGAAAAACAATTAGTGGCTTAGGCTGTTTAGTTAGGCAATACAACATCTTCATTATCTACAGAACTGGCCAATGAACACACAATGCAGTATTAACATCAGTGTCACTTTTCATATATTGCTTTGCTTATGGTACATTTTAAAAATACTACATTAAAAGTTTAGGCAAAGTTTGTTTTCATTTACCTTTATATTGAAATTGTTTCAAGAAAAATGGAAAAACTTGCTCTTAAATATTAATGTAATTTTCCACTGACTTTTGGGGCGTAATTGTATTCAGTTTCTAAAAGACTTATGCTGTCTATTATGGTTTTGATTTTAAAAATATACTCCTTGATTCTGATTGCATACTCTGCCATTATCTACTAGTCAGTGGCTGCCCCAAAAGAAAAAGAAATCAAAACAGAATTTTGAAAATCCAAGTATATAATGAATGTCAACAGAGTTACTTCCCTTCATGTCTATGTTCTTTTCTGAGTCAGTATAACAGTAAATTTATTTTCCATGTAAACTCAAATAAAATTTTTCCCTTTAATGCCATACTCTTTTGCAGGTGATGATATCCTGCACTGCAGCCTTATTTTTCTCCTCAGTGCTCCTTCCTCTTTGAGAAGGCCAAATTCTGCTGTGTCAGGAAGAAAGCTGAGCACTCCTTCCTCACCCTCTAAGCTATAAAAACTGTTATCAGCCTGACCTATGCAGTTATTCCAAAATCCTTCAAGGGCACTCTGTTTCTACAGGTGAAACTCGAAAAATTAGAATATCGTGCAAAAGTTCATTTATTTCAGTAATGCAACTTAAAAGGTGAAATATATGATATAGACTCATTACATGCAAAGCAAGATAGTTCAAGCTGTGATTTGGCATAATTGAGATGATTATGGCTTACAGCTCATGAAAACCCCAAATCCACAATCTCAGAAAATTAGAATATTACATGCAATCAATAAAACAAGGATTGTACATAGAACAATATCAGACCTCTGAAAAGTATAAACATGCATATGTACTCAGTATTTGGTTTGGGCCCCTTTTGCAGCAATTACTGCCTCAATGCGGCGTGGCATGGAAGCTATCAGCCTGTGGCACTGCTGAGGTATTATGGAAGACCAGGATGCTTCAATAGCGGTCTTCAGCTCTTCTGCATTGTTCAGTCTCATGTCTCTCATCTTTCTCTTGGCAGTGCCCCATAGATCCACTATGGGGTTCAGGTCAGGCAAATCAAGCACAGGAATCCCATGGTCATTGAACCAGGTTTTGGTGCTTTTGGCAGTGTGGGCAGGTGCCAAGTCCTGCTGGAAAATGAAGTCAGCATCCCCATAAAGCTCAACTGCGAAAGGAATCACGAAGTGCTCCAAAATCTCCTGGTAGGCGGCTATGTTGACCCAGGACTTAATGAAGCATCAACACCAGCAGATGACATGGCTCCCCAAATCAACACAGACTGTGGAAACTTCACACTGGACTTCAAGCATCTTGCAGTGTGTGCCTCTCCATTCTTCCTCCAGACTCTGGGTCCTTGGTTTCCAAATGAGATGCAAAAGTTACTCTCATCAGAAAATAGGACTTTGGACCACTGAGCAACAGACCAGTTCTGTTTTTCTTTAGCCCAGGTAAGACGCTTCTGACATTGTTTGTTGTTCAGGAGCGGCTTGACAAGAGGGATACGACATTTGAAGCCCAGCCTCAGTCCACTCCTTGTGAAAGTCCCCAACACTTTTGAATGACCTTTTCCTGACAATCCTCTCCAGGCTGCGGTCATCCCTGCTGCTTGGGCACCTTTTTCTTCCACACTTTTCCCTTCCACATAACTTTCTATTAATGTGCTTTGATACAGCACTTTGGGAACATCCAACTTCTTTTGCAATTACCTTTTGAGGCTTTCCCTCCTTATGGAGGGTGTCAATGATGGTTTTCTGTCAGGTCAGCAGTCTTTCCCATGATTGTAATTCCTACTGAACTAGACTGAGAGACCATTTAAAGGCTCAGAAACCCTTTGCAGGTGTTATGGCTTAACTAGCTGATTAGATTGGGACACTTTGAACCTAGAATATTGAACCTGTTCACAATATTTTAATTTTCTAAGATTGTGGATTTGGGGTTTTCATGAGCTGTAAGCCATAATCATCTCAATTATGACACATCACGGCTTGAACTATCTTGCTTTGCATGTAATGAGTCTATCTCATATATTAGGTTCACCTTTTAAGTTGTATTACTGAAATAAATGAACTTTTGCACGATATACTAATTTTTCGAGTTTCACCTGTATACAGAATCACATTTGACAATGTACAATTTTGTTGTATCACACATTTGTGAATCTGATATGAACATACTACACATTTAAGAAATAAATACAGTATATTACAGTTAGCCTCCAGTTACCCTTTGAAATCAGTTACTTTTGAAATGCATTTATGACACAAGGCAAACTGATCAATATACATAAGGATTCTGGATTCAATCCACTTTATGAAGTGAAAAGACAATATTCACGCTTCTTAAAAAAGCATATGGTTTATCCTTCAGGCTAGGTCTTTTATCACATTTCTTCAACACACATGTACAAATTAAGTTTCATAATCTAATATGAAATGTTATTATTTTATTTGCATAAAAATGGAATAAAATGAATTGACATCCAGACCTTGATTGATATTTCTTAGAAAACCCAATTGGGAATCATATGCATATAAATTATCATACTTTATAAGTGCTTGAACTTGTAATTGACATTTTAAGATTGTTTATTATTATGTTTCAGTGTTTGCTCAATGTCATCCTATACTAATTCTCAGCAATTAAAACTTCAACCAGCATCTAAGTCTTGGAGAGCTTTTGAGGAAACTGCTATTTCTATACATACAACATGCTGTACAAGTATAAACAGATTTTACAAACTATTGCTAATATGTCTGCTCAAAGCATGCAATTGAATCGAATTCTTTATTGGCCAAGTGTGATTGGACACACAAGGAATTTGTCTTGGTGCATATGCTCTCAGTGTACATAAAAGAAAACATACATTCATCAAGAATCAAGAGGTACAACACTTAATAATAGTGATAGGATACAATAAGCAATCAAATCATACTAAGAAACAGTCAATATAAATCGTAAGGATACAAGTGACAAAGTTACAATCATACAGTCACAAGTGGGAGGGGAGGAGAGGAGTGATAAGGAGTGATAGTAATAGTAATGCAGAATTTGTAAATAGTTGGACAATGTTGAGGAATTATTTGTTTAGCAGAGTGATGGCGTTCCGGGAAAAACTGTCCTTGTGTCTAGTTGTTCTAGTGTGCAGTGCTCTGTAGCGTTGTTTTGAGGGAAGAAGTTGAAACAGTTTATGTCCAGGATGTGAGGGGTCTGTAAATATTTTCACAGCCCTCTTTCTGTGATACATTATGTCTGTATATACTATTAGAAAGTGTCATGTATCAGATATTAACATGTTGGTTTGGAGAAGCTTTAATTGTAATTGGAAGATTGAAAAATGAAAGTTGCTTCTTAAAAAAAAAAGTCCAGTACAGGAAGTCCTTACAATTGAGCCCAAAATTTTTGTTGCTAAATGAGATATTTGTTAAGTGAATTTTGCCCCATTTTATGACCTTTCTTGCCATGACCATGGGGATGCTGCAAGTCACTAACTATGAAAAATGATAATAAGTGGATGTTTTTCAGTGCCGTTGTAACTTTGAACAGTCACTAAACAAATTAAGTCAAGGTCTGTCTGTATAAAGTTGTTTTGACCAAAGAACTCTACTAGTTGACCCTGATGAGACCATACAATACAGATGCTGGGGGCAGACTTGTATAGCCCATTCAGAAGAATATGGAGATAGAAAGCATCACCTCTTCAAACGTTATCAACCCAGAATTGAACTTTTTTTTTTCAGGATTTGTTTTGGCTTATTGATTTGATGGGCTCTTTATATTATTCAGGCTCTTGCTTTCAGTATCCTTGGTACCAGAGACTCATCTTCCTTCCCTGGGCGCACTGGACAAAACGTCTGCATGACTTTTAGCCCTTTTTATAAAATCCTTGTAGAGACCGCCTCTGCTTTCAAGTATTAAAGAACAAAAAGGCGGAAGAAACTCGGCATTCCGCCTCCTTTCCCCACAAATGCTCGTCCGCCGTGGGGCCGTTTGATTTTTATTTTATTTTTTAAAAAAGACATCTGCGCCTGCGCACTGGGCGGCAGTCAGCACGTGACCTCGGGCGCGTGGTGCCTCTTGAAAAGTTCGCCTTGAAGTTCTGCCGACTCACGCCTCCCTAACGCTCTTGTTTACCTCACGCGTCCCAGGTGTTGCGAGGCCAGAAGCCCTCCTCCTCCTCCAGCCAGGCAACGCTCGCGGGCAGGAAGGGCGGGGTCAGGCGCTTCTATGTAGCGCGGCCGTCGACCGCCGCCTGGCGTTTCCTGGGCGGTTTGAAAGGAGGGAAGAGGAGCGAGCCAGCCATGTGTTCCCCGCTGCTCATCCCTGGCAGCCCGTTTACCTTTCGTGTCTCCTTCGTCGAAGTCCACCCTAACGTGCCGCTAGTGAGGCTATGGGGGCTGCCCGGCGAACGCAGAGCGGAATATTTGCGGCTGATGAAGGACCTCCAAGTCAAAGTGGGGCCCCGCTTGGCGAACGCTCCCGGGGACCGCGGGGGCCGAGGCGACGGCGACAACGAGGGCGAAGCCCTGGCTCTGGGTGACCTGTGCCTGGTGGAGCTGAGTGGGCGGTGGCACCGCTGCCGTATCGTCAGCTGCCGGCCTAAGCCGGGGCAAAACTACCGCGTCTTTCTGCTGGACGAGGGCCGCACGGTGAGCGCCAGCTCCTACTACTTGGCGCGGGGCCGCAGCGAACTCTTTCACTTGCCGTCCGAAGTCATGGGATGCATCGTTGCAGACTTGCTCCCGCCCGGCCATTTCGGGGCATCCTTGGCCACCACTCTTAGGGGCTCAAAGACCACGCTAGGATCCCAGACACTGGATTTACAATGGGGGGCTGAGGCAATCGACTTTTTGGGTTTCCTACATGGCAAAGAGCTGTCGGGGGTCATCCGAAAAGTGCTGATCTCGCAGTGCCTTGTGGTGCTGGAAGTGTCCTGGTTGCTGACACAGATGCGCCATCTTGGGCTTGCCAGTCTTACCTCTACTGCTTTTGGCACCCTACTAAGTGCTATCTTAGAAGTTCCTGAAATTGCTTCTGTCCCATTAGAGCCAACTTCCACTTTGTCCCAACCCCCAGTCCTTACTTCTGCTGCCCAGTCCAAGAAGGATCATGCCATAATGGATTTCTTCTATCCTCAACTGGAGTTGAATGTGACTGTTCCTGTGGTGGTGACTCAAATCTCTGATCCATATAGAATATATTGCCAGCTACGTAGTCTTTCTAAAGAAATCCAACTACTTTCAGATGCTATGTGCCAAGCTTTTGAGGTATCAAAGGGAAAATTTGTAGAAGAGGCTTTACCTACCCCAGGCTTTCCCTGTGCAGCCCAAGGTATAGATGGATGCTGGTATCGAACTTTGTTATTAGAAACATACCCAGCAAATGATCAAGAGGATCAACCAGAAGCAGTGGCACAAGTCATTTGTGTGGATTATGGCAGGAAAGAGTTTGTAACAAAGAGACATCTGCGCAACTTACCTGTTGAATATTTCCGCATGCCAGTAGTCACCTACCCTTGCTCACTGCAAGGTATTACCGATGGAGGTTGTGGCTGGACCCATTCACAAATTAATCAACTTAAAACATTGCTCTTAGGCAAGGTAGTACAAGCTCACATCGAAGCTTACTGTCCCTTTGAGCATATCTATTACATTACCCTATATGGGGAAGATGGTCTCAACCTTAACTGCCTGTATGGGGTGCAGGCACATTGCCTGGCTCAAAATCTCCTGCACAGTAATCAAGAATGCATCTCTGGTTTAATTACTGAATCAGAAAACTTGGGTGTCTCAGTCCAAAAGGAATTTGCTGCTTTGTCAGAGATATTGCCTAGTATTGCTGCTACTCCATTTTTTGTTGTGCGTCTGAAGGCAGGTGAATACCATAATGTTCAGGTGTCATTTCTTCATGACCCTTCAGAATTCTGGGTACAGTTGCAGAAACTTAAACAGCCACTTAGTCACCTGCGGCGAAATTTAAGAGATTTTTATTCTCGGAGTAAGAAACTAGAATGTATTCTACTTGAGCCTAAGGTAGGATCCCTCTGCTGTGTCATGTTGAAGGAAAACTCTTATCATCGTGCCCTTGTTACTAAAGTTCAAGGAAAAGGAATTGTGGTGTATTTAGTGGATTGGGGAAACACTGAAGTAGTTGACTTGTATAAAGTGAAGAAGTTGCTTCCCCAATTCAGGGAACTTCCTGCTGTGGCAGTCCGGTGTGCAGTGGATAATCCTTTCCCAGGTCAGGCGTGGAACCCAGAAGCTGTTGATTATTTTAGGAAATCTGTGCTAAACAAGGAATTGATGATCAAAGTTCTAGGCATGCAAGGAGATGTTTATATAGTTGAACTGTTTGATAATTCTCTAGTGGGAGAAAAAAATTTGGCTAAAATCATGTCCCAGAGAAAGTACATAAAGCACCATGAAGTACTAGAAACTCTCCAGGCAATATCAGACAAGCTATTGGCAGGAGATCCTGAACGTAAACCAATGAGGTTAAGACCTGTGAAAAAAATACCAGTGACAGATGAAGTAAAACATCCACAACAACATGATTCTTCAGCCTCTTCTGCAACTGAAATGTTGAGAAATGAACACCACTCCAGTCAGGGAACTTTTTATTCTTCATCAGCTCTGGATGACAGTGATAATTCATCATGTGAGATACAGAACTATTCTGAAATAAAGGCAGGCGAAGAACAGCTTGAATTTGGAAGTACAGTTGATGTGATTGTAACACACATAGAAAATCCTAGTCATTTTTGGTGTCGATTATTTAAGAATTCCCATGAACTGAATATACTTATGGCTAAAATTCAGGGTTATTGTATACATTCAGCAGAGCTTCATGAATGGCCAAATTCGGTATGTTTGGCTAAGTGTTCTGAGGATAAAAAATGGTACAGAGCTGTTATCATTAATAAGGTTCATTACCCAGAAGAGGTTGAAGTTGCTTATGTTGATTACGGAAAGAAAAAGCATGTTTCACTGAAAAATATTCGTGCAACTACAGCAGAGTTTCTGAAACTAAAAGCTCAAGCTTTCAGATGTAGCCTTTACAATTTAATTCAGCCAAAACTTACAAATCCTTTTGTTTGGGATAAAAAAGCCATCCAAACATTTCATGAATTTGTGGATTCAGGATCTAAACTGTCACTGAAATGTATTATATTTGCTTTAGCAGCATTGAATGGTACAGAACTTTTTAATATTGTTGACCTTATTACTCCTTTCGAAAGTGCTTGCCATTTTTTAATAAGAAAGGATCTAGCCACATTTGTACAAAGAGAGAAACCCTTGGTATCATCTGTTCAACTTCTGTCATACTATTACTCAACCCACAATATCAAAAGAGGAAATGAAGAGATTGTTTATGTCACACATGTTAATAGTCCATGTTTTTTTTTCTGCCAACTTGCTAGGAATTCAAATGCTCTTGAAAATTTAACTAGTAACATTAGTAAACTAAGCAAAATGTACAATTTGCAAACTTCACCCACCTCTAGAAATTTGTATCTTGCAAAGTATACTGATGACTGCTGGTATAGGGCTGTAGTAACTTCAAAAAATGATAGCAAAGAAGTTTTTTTTGTAGATTTTGGGAATACACAATTATTAAAAAATGAAGACCTGATTGTAGTACCAAATGATGCTTACGAGTTAATGCTTTTGCCTATGCAGGCTATAAAATGTTCTCTATCTGATATTGTTGATCCACCAAAAGATGCTATTGAGTGGTTTGAAAAGGCAGTGTTAGATAAGCCCTTAAAAGCTTTGATTGTAGCAAAAGATCCTGATGGAACATTGATAATTGAACTGTATGATGGTAAAGTACAGATCAATGCAAAATTGAAACAAAGCTTAGGTTTGCAGGCTAGCAAAGAGATCACTGAAAACACAGAAAACTGCACTCTGTCTTCCCAATACTCAGTTAATACGGAAGAAAACAGTGAAAGGGAGCTAGGTTTGGTAGATTTTGTCAAACCTGTCCTTGAGGAAAATATTAGATCTAGTGCTGTTTTTGAAGAAACATGCCAATTGCAGCAGAAAATTAAAAAAGAGGTAGCAAGAAAATTCCTAGGAATCACAGAAGGCTCTAGCAAAAGTAATTATGTGGCAGATTGGAGGGACATGAAATGTTTAGACCTTCATAAGAATGGGGAGATATGTGATATTAGAAATAAATCCAAATCAGTAACACATTCTTCTAAAAATATATATGAACTACCTCAAAAAAGCATAAAACCTGGTCTTAAATCTTTAGTGTATGTTTCTCACATAAATAATCTTTCTGACTTTTATGTACAGTTTGTAGAAGATGAGCCTATCCTTGATAATATATCAGAGAAAATAAACAGCTCTAAAACAGTTTCAAGCTTAGTGGGGCAACAGCTTAATGTAGGAGATTTAATATGTGCAATTTATTCAGAAGATGGCTTATGGTATCGAGCTGTAATTATTACAGAGTCCACTAGTGAAATGGTAGAAGTACAGTATATTGATTATGGCAATACTGCGGTAGTTAGCATTCATAAAACATGCAAACTTGTTGAAGACTGTTTATCTTTCCCTGTAATGAGCATCCATTGTACCCTGGGTAGTATTAAGATGTCAGAGATTTCAGAATGGACACAAAAAGCAGTGGTGTACTTCTCCCAAAAGACAAGTGAGGTTCAGATGAACGGTCAATTTGTTGAGAAAGTAGAAGACAAATGGGAAATAACACTCAGTGATGAAAAAGGTGATATAACGGTTGATATGATTAATAGTTGCCTTGAATATAAAAAATATGACCTGATAGAGACATCTGACAAAGCATCTGATAAGATAGGCAAAGTAAGCTTATGTGAAGATATTCTTTCTAATGAGCACAGTAGACGTTCAGTTAGCAAATCATTTCTCTGGAAGACACCTAAGATAGGTGAAACTATAAAAGCCTTTTCATTAGTTCCAAAGAATCCAGGATATTTTTGGTGTCAGTTCACTGAAAATGATATTAGTTCAATTGAAATAAAACTTCAGGAAGCTGAAGAACATGCAAAAATCCATGCTGATGATCTTAAAAATGGCAGTCCTTGTCTAGCAAAGTCTAGTGATAATTTATTTCACCGAGCAGTTGTTAGTCATATAGAGGAAAATTCCTTGACAGTAATCAACATTGATTATGGAATTGAGAAACTTGTCAGCATAGACGTGATCAGGCAAATTCCTGATGAACTGTTAATAATTCCACCGCAAGCATTTTTGTGTTGTCTCTTCGGCTTTAATTCTGAAAAAGGTTCATGGGCTGAAGGAATAAATGAAATTTTCTATGATATGATAGCTGATCTTCCATTAGAGATTACAATTATGGACAAACTGAACTATGGTTCTCTTGAAATTCCCTTGTTTGTAGTTAAATTGGAATGTCAAAATATAAGCATCAATGAACAAGTGAAATACTTTTGGAAACATAATGCTGAAAGTGATGATTCCACTATTGCAAATAATTACAACCTTGAAGAGCAGATTAGAAATCCAGAAAAAGAGAATTCAAAATCAGTTCCATTTGAAACAGAAATTTCTGTGTGTACAACAATGACCCCCAAAAATAGTAGTTTGGAAGATGTATTCTGTTGTCCAAATCTATTACAGTCAGTAGACAAATGTTTTGGTGTCAGAGACAGGATTTTATCAGAAACATCTGCACAGCCATCCAAAAATCAAATCAAGCACCACTTTATCACCCATGAAATATTTCATACAGGGAACCAGCAGACCACATTTGATACATGTAATAATGAAACAAGCCATTCTGCATTTGGAAACAGAAAAAACATAACAGATTCTATAGGTCTTTCTGAAATACAGCTTTCTACTTATGAAATTGAATATGATACACTTGAATCTCGGGGAGAAGCAGAAGACAAAGAAATATTAATGCTAGATTCTCCTGAAATTCAGTTGCCTTTGGATGATACAAAGAAGTTGTCAGACTTTGAGCCCTTACAAGTGTTTCCCCAATTAAATAATGTAAAGAACATGCCAGAAAAAGAGAAGTTAAAAATGTCCTTGTTGGAAGACATGCTACAGCCAAAGACAATAGGAATAAAAGCTTATGATGAAGCACAAAATAAGTCAGAATTGCATGTATTTGAACCACAACATGTGGAAGGACAGTTAGTACACAAAATAGAAGAAAATACTTCACTAATGAACGAAAATGTAATAGAAATGATGGCACCTGAAGCTTTTCCTTTACTGACTGAGAAAGCCAGCAATAATACGCTCTCTTTGCAACACCCTGCTTTGTCTGTTCCTGAAGATAATAAAATCCAGTCATTTTTAGAAATAAAAGTTAAGCCACAAGAATTCTGTTCCATTGAAGGCCTTGAAGAGTGTAAACTTGGAAAAAGTGATAAAAAGCTCAATTTTACAGAAGGGCAAACTGCATTAGGAAAGAATTATGAAGAAATGCAGAAGAGCACTCATGGAAGTTTTAAAGACAGTATTTGTGTTGAAAAAGATTATTTAACAGATATACAGCTAAGTGAACTGGATGAAACCTTAATACATGATACAGGTAAGGCATTAATGTAGACCCTTGAGTGACAAAGTTGATTTGGGATTTTGCAGTCTTGTTCAGTTAGCAAATTCAGATTGGCAAAGTTAAGTGGAAAAAATCATTGAGACAACACTGGGCAAAAAATAATGGTAACTTAATTTCTTGGAGAGGGGTTTACAATTATTTTTCAAAAGATTGAGTAAAAACTACATAACTGTCCCAATATAAAGCATAGCTCTCATTTAAGAATGTAGTTTCCAGATCCAGCTGGAGAATGATTAATTAGATCCATTTCACCTGGGAGGTACTGTATATGACTGAATTTACTTTGCCTTTGTGAATGAAATGGCTGGGAGTGTTGCCCTAATAATTCCACTTGATGTTTCAGCAACTTTAGTACTGTAAGTCATAGTATCTTTATGGGCTCCCTATTTTACTGTCTCTCCTATCTGAATGAGCTCCCAAAAGGAGAAAGGCTTGTCACATTGGGTTCCACCATGTGTCATAACTTCTAGAAGAGATCCTGTATATTTTTATGATTATGTCTAGGGTGAAAATTAGACCCATTCCTAAACTGGTAAGACCTGGAAATGAGACCACATAGTTAAATCAGACAATCGCAGCATAAGTCTATACTTGAAAAGTGTTGGAAGTATAAATGTTTGCTGCCCAGTGCATGATATTTTATTGGGATTCTGTATTTAAAAAACTGCAGTGATGTTTGCTTTTTCAAAAATTGAAAATTATAAGCAGAAACCTTAAATTTATCTTATGACATAACCATTTGTATTTCAGTGTAAGCCTATCCAGTCATTAAGGTAGGCAAGAGAGCTCCTTTTAAAAATACTTACATATTCAGAGTCTATCAATCATGAAGGAAGAACTTATATTGGCTACAAACTGCCCTTGTTAGTAGGTTCCCAGACGTTCATTTTAGGACTGAGCATATTTCACTCAAGAGGTGTTGATATTAACTCCCAATTTGTTTTAGGGCACAAATTCAAAATAGTGTAATTTTTCTTGAAATTACAGTCTAGAAACAACATGGTTAACACTTCAATTGAATTTAAAAGATGTTGTTTTAAATATCAGCTACTTGACTTTTCTGGAATGCAGTGTTCTAACTGAAAATTATAGGTATTTTTCAAACGTAATGAAATGGTTAAAAGCATGTAGCCTTGCCTTCTTGCAGTGTCATCACAAATAATATAAAACTAAATAAAATCAAGTCCAATCTTAGAGCTCTACAGGTAGTTTTCAACTTATAAACACAATTGGGACCCAAATTTCTGTTGCTAAGCAAGACAATTGTTAAAGTTGCACCTGATTTTATAATCCCCCCCATGGTTGTTAAGCAAATCGTTGCAGTTGTAAAGTAAATGTCACAATTCATAAGGAATCTGGCTTCCCTCATTGGCTTTGCTTGTTGGAAGCTAGCTGGGAACTTGCAGATGGGGATCACGTGATGCTGCAATCTTCATAAATACATGCCAGTTGCCAAGTGCCCTAATTTTCATCAACTGTAAACTACAACAGTTGTAACTTACTTTTTTCAGTGCCATTGTAACTTGGAACAGTTGCTAAATGAATGGTTGTAAGTCAAAGTTTACTTGTATCAGTAGGGATTGCCAATGTAAACTGCAGCTGCCAATCTCATTGCCCCATCTATAGTACATAGTATGAATAATAAATAAACAATGTGTTATTTCTTGCAGAAAAAAAAGAAAATATTTGCAACTTAATGGGATTTGATATTGGTTCCCAATGCATGGTACGATCTGGTACTCAGTGGTACAAGGCTGAGATTTTAGGCATATCTCCTGAAGGTACAAAGGTAAGGAATCCTGAATATATTCAGTGTCCTGGTTCATGTTACTTTAATTATGTTTCTACTATATAAATCAATGTCTTCTAATTTTCTGTAGGCATTAATATTTAAATCTTGTGTTATTTATAAATGAAGGTTTTGAATCTTTCAAATGGAAATGAAGAGATAGTCAATCCTATACATGTTTGGAATGGGATTCCTGAATTGGATTCAGATCTTACTCAGGTATATTTTCCAAAATAGTAAAAAGCAATTGTGTTATGGATATTTGCGCACTATTTTTCTCTGATCTGTTGTGATTAATTTTTCCTTCCATTCAGTGAATTAGGAACAGATTCCATACAGGCTTTAAAGTTGGTAGGTAATTCAGTACCACTTGAATAAGCAAAGTGAGTGGCAAGAAGTAAAAACAAAACTGGTAAAAAATAATACTAACATTTTTTTGGGGGGGGGGAATTTAGGGGAATGCATTATTATCATTTGCTTAAGACAGATATAAAACTGACAACCCTCCTAGATTTTGAAGAATAAATCTCACCTGTTCCAGTCAACATAACAAACTATTGTTGATATTTTGAAGGTCATAGAGGTCCCTCTCTGGAGATAAAACTGATTTTCACCCTGTGGTCAGTGTGTAACTAATACTCCTAGTCTATTGCAGGGGTGGGATTCAAATTTCTTAACAATCGGTTCTGTGGGTGTGGCCTAATTTGTGAGTGTGGCTTTGTGATCATGTGACTGGGTGGGAATGGCTTGCTGACTGGGCATGGCTTGTATGTAAATATTATAAATATTTATGTAAATATTGATTTTTTTATTAAAAAAGAGCAACTTTTACCCAAAATCAAGCAAAGCAGGCAGGCAGATTGAGTTGCTCACAGAATTACAGATTCACTTAGAGATCAATCTATCTGCAATCTGCTACCTGAGTCTGTCACATAAAATTTGCTTGCAAGCAAACTCATAAAATTTGCTTGCAAGCAA